TGAAAGACTTATTGCCTGTGACGCAAACTGTTGCATTCTGTTCAATAATAAGATATAACAAAAGAACATTTTCTTTACTATTGTTCCATGCTTTTCAGATGTTAAGAACTCTTTTTGTAAGTCTTCACCTTGTTCAGTTTCACGTTTGATGCTCCTATGAAATTGTGTTTTTATCTTACTTGCTCATTTTGCAGACCAATAAACGGATTCTAGCTGATTATTTATTTTGGAAACATTATTTATTTATTTATTTATTTACTTATATATTATTGATTGTTTATAATCTTCCTCAAAGATACAACAGTTGATAATATCAATTCATTGTACATTTGCAGAATTGATACTTATCTTAACTTGAAATTTCAGGTAGGACAAGAAATTGAAATTCGACCAGGAATTGTTTCCAAGGATGGTGATGGAAAGCTGAAATGTCAGCCTATATTTTCAAAAATTGTGTCACTATTTGCAGAGCACAATGATCTGCAATTTGCTGCCCCTGGAGGATTAATTGGTTAGGAATTTTTTTTATTTACAAGTTTGGTTTGAAACTCATGAATCCTCAAATGTGTATCCTTCAAAATGGACTTTTGACACAATTTTATCATTAGCAGAGGATGGGTAATTTTGAGATTTTTTACTGGCTATCGGATAATACCCAATGAAAATCATCCGAACATTTTCGGATTTAGATTTAATTCCTTTCCAGCTCAGACAAATACACTTTTCTTTTTCTATCCAGTATAATCTAACTTTAACTAAAGAGAAATGCTCCTCTTCTAAGTTTCGAAACTCTGCATTTCGTCTAGGCAAGAAAAAAAATAGTTATATATCTCTCAGATTAATATGATTTCACTTAATATATACGGGTTCCCTGTTATCTTGTCATTTACTGTGCCTTGTTAGGAAAGAGGGTTTTTGCTAAGATTATGGCTGAAAAAATGAAAAATTTGAATAATTTGAAGAAAACAAGAACTTTATTGCAAAATGTGTGAGAATTCTTCTTTGATTTATGTGATTGTGACAAAAGACAAAATGCATGTGCCATGCACAAAATGTGTGGGACTTGATAGGTCTGCAAATGTGAATCCCTGTCTATGTAGGGAATGGTGAGGAGCAAGGATATGATGGTGACAAATAAATTTGCCTTTTTATTGACTTTAGGTGCTTGAGTAGTAAACCAACAACTTACTAGGTAATAAAATTTAGACTGAATTTTTTTCTGGCAATCTAGTTTTGTTCTTGTTGGGTATGATCGGTAAAAATGATTTAAAGCTAAAGCTAATCCCCTTCAAATCAATGCCCTGTTTCCCTAAAAAATCAGTCAAGTATTTGAGCTGCGCATGTTGTAGGACTATGGTTGTAAAATAGTTAAACTTTTTTCAAGTTAAATTTCCTGCAAAAGCATGACAGTTTTTGTTCTCAACATTTTGTTTTATGATATCAAATATTTCTTTTTCATTTGCCTGTAGGTTATTTTCTATCATTTATGCTCCATTTATCTAGAAAAAATTTAGCAACAAAGTAGTTTTCTGGCATATTCGTTGTTCTAAATTTTGTTGATTCTTTTCAGGTGTTGGTACAAAAATTGACCCAACTCTGTGTAGAGGTGACCGTATGGTTGGTCAGGTATGTCATTTATGTACAGTAAACATTGGCATATAATAAAACTGGAATTTTGCAAGTCAGGCTGACTAGG